ACATTTTGAATAAATTTATTTTACTATTTTATAACTTTCTAAAAGAAACTTCTTAAATAAAAAGAACATTTAAATATAAAAATTAATATTTTTAGTAAAATTTTCATATAGTAAAAAATAATGATGATGCATTTCCCGAATTTAAGCCTAACCATATATGCTTATGTTGTATCCAAATGGTACCCAAATCCTAGACAATATATTTTCATGCATACAAATGCCAACGTAAAGCTCATTTTCGTATCATGTATGCGAATTTGAACAATACTAACATTAATTATTCATAGCATTACAAAACTTTATTGCATACTAGATTAATGGGATTTAATTAATCCATGGACATAAGATTGGTTGTGCATGGATCTAGCTGCATGGGCCATTGATAGATAGAACAATGGTTTCTAAATTTAGCCAAATTGAGACCGCATTTGTATGGGAACGGGCTGTCGTGCTTTGTTGGTGCACGAATCCATGTGTAATGGAGTTGCGTTCTTCATACAAGTGGAGTTCTGCGATGGGGGCGCGGACCACCATTGTGTGGTACACGATCCTACAATGAATGAAGCTCGATCCTAGCCAAATAGGAACATGGTATTGTTTAGATTGGGGTGAGACTCAACATTAAATAAGATCTCGTTCTTGTTGTCGACGGGAGCACGATCCTAATAGACATGGGAGCGCAATCTCATGTTACATGTAACACGTTCCTATCAAATAGGGATCTCAATCTCAATGTATCAAGATCTCGCTCCCTATTCAAACGGGATCCCTAATCAAACGGGATCTCATTCCGTAAATATATGAAACGCGTTCCTGTTAAATAGGGATCTCGATCCCAATATATCGGGATCTCGCTCCCTGTTCAAACGGAATCTCGATCCGTAACTCTACCCTCACTGGTACTCGCTCCCTAAGCTCCAGACCTTCGGGCAACCATCGATCTGACGCTCCCACTTCTGAAACCAGAGCCGCTACCGCTCCCGATAACTATGGTCCAAACACACACATTGTCTCCCTTCAGTAAGGTTGCAAGTGACATCCCAAAAGAAGATTCCTGAGGGTTTCAATCTCAACAAAAGGAAAACCTATGCTCTCTCGCTCTCTCAACATCGATACGAAGGTGGAACTATAAAATAAAGTATGTAACTTGAATAGAAAAGAAAGAAAAAATAAGTGCTCTCTCTCTCTCTCTCTCTCAAAATACCCAAGAACTCTTTCTCTATTTGCAACAGAAAAGCTTAAGAACTCTTTCTCTATTTGGAAAAGAAAAGCTCAAGAACTCTTTCTCTATTTGCACTAAATACAAAATGCTCCTTGTTCATGGCTGTGAGTAACATCATAAACAAGATCCATACATGTTTCAATCTCAAACAAATGAAAACCATCCCTCTCTCCCTCTCTCTCTGCCTTACGACCGGTGGACCGGTGACATGACTAGCCTGGATCAGTCGATGAACCAAGGAGGACCCGAACATGTGAACCGGCCAGTCCAATATCTAGACTGGCGGGTCCACATGTGAACCGGCCAGTCCAATATCATCAAGAGCATTGGACTTTGTTGTACAATTTTGATGCTCTTTATTTGTATCATGGTACATAAAGCAAATAAATAATAAAGCATCACACTACCATCATGAGCATTGGACCTTCTTTCACAATATCGATGCTTTTTATATATAGTGAAAAGTTTATATAGCGCCTATGCGCTAAACCAATGGTTTAAAAAGCGGATCGGTGACTCGGATCGGGCACCATAAAAATCAATTTGGATCGGCGAATCGGCGATTCGGATCGAGAATCGGCTGGATTAAAGCTTCAAAAAAATCTGAAAAAAATTATTAAAATTCATTATAAATGTTGTTTTTTAGGAATCCAATAAGAAATTAGGGTACTACATTATTAACTTTCATTTTTTTCATCAATTTGTGAATATTGAGATGCTCTTTCCTTGTATAAACTTAAGTATTAAATTTACATCATATAAAAGAAAAACCATAGAATTATCATGGATAAAATATATAATTATACATGGACTATAATAAATAGTAGACTAAATCAATGAAAGAATGGCCATTAAAATCTCGTTTTGGCGAAAATCCCTAATCCGCTAAAAAAACCCAAATTATTACAGCCAAACTAAAAATAATCCAAAATTATTACAACTTAACTAATTATAATATTATATACTGAAATTATAATTATTAGTTTACATTTTATAATTATTTTATTAGATAAATAATAACAAATTAAAAATATTTTATAATATTATCTAATTTAAAATGTATTATTGACAACTGTAAGAAAAATAGTACATTACACGATTTATAATGTAAAAATTAATAAATAAAATAAAATATTTGGTTATCAATGTAAAAATTAATAAAATGCGTACAAATTTTGAAAATAACACTTCAATTTTTCAAAAATTTAATTTTTTAGGTTTCTATAATAAATTTAGTGAAAGAAATTGTTAATAGAAAGAGGGAGATTTCAAATAGAATAAACTTT